GTAAAAATTAATGTCTTTTTATAGATAATTACTAATTCGTTGGGTTATATGCAAATATCGAAAGATAGTAAGTTGAAGTGGTGATGGACCTGGCATATAGCTCGAAGAACCGACAACCGATGGGGAAGAAAGTTTCTCGAGTGGCAGCCTCGTAGCGCTAAGCAAAGTGTAGCCCCCCATTAGATGGAGTGAAGATCTGGTAAGATTTCCGGGAAGGAAGTCGATGGATACAGATGGCTTAGGACCTTGCTTTGTGGGGTTCCTTGGGGTAGGCCTATGTTAAACAGTGGTCTTGTGAAGGGCTAAAGTGACACCATCATTAATGATGATGATAAATAGATAATAGAAGCGAGCAGAGCTCACGTTACACCGGTACCTAAAATTTTATTTAAAAAAATTAGTAATGTTCTATCAAGAATGCGGCGAAGAAGGAAATCGGCATGAGAAAACATGCGTGTCTGTAGAAAAAAATTAAAATACATTTACATTTAGAGGACATGATGTGTGAATTATGCCAGGAAGAACAAGAGCAAGATGGTGGCCTCCTGCTGACTTCTAAAACTTCCTTGAATAACATTACTAACCAAATTTGTGAATTTATTTTTGCATTAGATAGCAATCTCAATTCAAAACTGGTTCAAAATAAAGAGTTGCCATAAAATCGACTGAAAATAAATAAAAGAAGTAACAGAAATTCATACGAGCTTAAATTTAATTACCGTTCCCGTGTAAGCTGATATAAGAAATTGTATAGGTATTAACTCAATCCTAATTTATTAACAGTGATAAAAATCACATTATTTTTATTACGGAGGTATACTTTGTATTAAGTTCTTCGACTAAGATTGTCAATGATATAAGTTATTCCGTATCTATGAAGTATGAGGGCTCCAAGTTTCATTCACATCGCCACTGCCGTAATGAAACGTTGCGGGGGTGGAAACACGATGCTTGTAACAGAGTTTACATATTAGTGGTAACCCTCTCATAACCAATAGTTAATATTTTTTTTATGGGTTTGGAACCTTATATCGGTATATTTAAGAATATATGCCGATATAAGTGGTGTCGGTGAGGTTATATTCGTATAGTATATTCATAACTAAAATAAGGTACGTGAGGGTAATATAAAATCAAATCTAGGGGTAGGACAGAGACAAAAACACAAAGTTGTATACTATAACTAATAATTAAGAAAAAAATAGCAAATAAGTTCCGGCAATAATTCGGAACACTTCAAAAAATCTACACTACACCATACTAAAATCGACTTAAATATTTGCAATAATGTTAACTGTCAAAATGGCGTCGGTAAAGAATCCACCTTTTCACCCTTTATAATTTAATTTACCGATGAACAGAGCCATCTCTATTTGTAAACAAGGCTGTAGTTTTTGAGTTGACTATATTAACCGGTATACCATATTACACTCACGTACTATAATATACGTTCAGTCGTTAATCGTTATGACGTAAGTACATATTACGTTTAATAGCGCTTACGACCGTATTTTAGCACTTTATACGATAATTTTTTACTCAATGAAGTTGCTGAAAATTGACTTAAACTGGCTGGGATTTGCCTCTGATGGGTACCACAGAGAATGGAAGAAAAAGTTATATACCCTGAAGTACCACATCAGCGAAAGAATCAGCAACACCGCTGGAATCGTCCGGCGAGAAGCAAACCCAATGGTAGGATGCAATAAAAAAAAACTTACATCTATATATACTTATAAATAAAATTAAAGTGTATGCCTGTAACATCGAAATAGTTGCCACGTTTCAGAAATGAAAGTTCACGAACAGATAGAGAGCAAAGAAAGATTTACGCTGTATTTAATCCAAAATTCGATTTGTATTTAACCCAAAATTCGATCCAAAAGTCGATTGACCTCTCTGTCCAAGTTGGACTTACCTATTTGGACTATTTATCCTAGATGAACATACTGGTCAACAACTTCGAGCTTAGTGATCCCAACAAATACCAGCAAAGGAGTGACATGAACGTTACACATGACTTTTCTTTTGTCCATGTTCATCTTAAGATCTATCCGTTGGGAGACACTATTCAGGTCATTAGACATAGTAGTTGGCAAATGAAAGGTGAGTGATATACTCGCCATTGACGTTAATACCGTATCTTTTCCATTCCAGTAGCTTAAATCATCATCAATCATCTTCCAATGCATCGGTGAAGAGTTTTGGGGATATTAAGTCACCCTGTCTTACACGTCTCTGCATTTGAATAGGTGTCATACTCTAGTTCTGTACTGGGATAGCCATCGTAGCCCTACTGTTAAACACTTCCGCATTTCGATATACTGACAGTCAACTTGTCACCACCTCAGGGACTGCAGCACTGCCTGAACTTCAACGGAATCAAAGGTTTTCTCATAGTCCACATACGTAAGACATAGTGGAAGATTGTACTCCTCGGTCTTCCGTATAATTGGCCAAAGGGTGTATATGTGGCATGTGGTGGTCTAAAGCCTTTTGAAAACCGGGAGGCTAGAAGTCATCGAGTCTGCATGCGAGACGATTCGTAATGACTCTCGAAAACTGCACGTAGACGCGGCTCAGAGGGGAAACCGGTCTGTAGTTCTTTAACGCACTTCTGCTTCATGTCTCCGGAGTAGTACCACCATGGAGGACGGAATTAAAGAGCTTCTGAAGGACTTCAATACTGGTTTACCACCCGCTTTCAGAATCTCCGATGTAATTGCATCCTCAGTAGGGAAATTTGCCATTTATAAGGTGCTGGAGAGCCATTCTAAACTCGCTCAGACTGACGTCTGGGATATCAGTGTCGGATGAGACTTGCTCTTGGATTGTTACTCGTTCGGTGTATTATAAAGTATAATACTTATATATATTATAAAATAATTTTCGTCAACGAAGTAACACAGCCGTGTAGTGGCGGTTGAGAATATCCACTACCCCATATCTTCCCGTGGGTGTCGTAAGAGGCGACAGAGGGAGACAGGCAGGAGATGGGCAGCAGCATCTTCCTAATAACAACAATAACATAATAAAAAACTGCGGTTGCCAACCCGCTCGCCAAGCGTTGCAACTATGGCAAATATCCCCCCATGAATAACGACGAAGAAAAACGGCCCCCAGTCCCCGGCGGCCCCGCTATTCCTGGCTACGGTGGCGACCATGGTAACGGCGAGGCAGGGGGTACTAAGAATCTCCGGTGGAGGTTCGGTTGCCACCTACAACGACTCGACCTGGCAACGTATAACGCACGCACCCTGAGGACTGACGAGAAGATACTGGAGCTGGAAGAAGAGGTAGACAAGTTGCGCTGGGATATTATTGAATTATCTGAGGTCCGAAAAGAGGGGGAGGACATGGTAATCCAAGAGTCCGGCAACTTGTTCTATCACCGGGAGGGCGACCATCTGTCCCAAGGAGGTGTCGGATTTATCGCCCACAAGTCTCTCGTCAACAACGTTGTAAAGATTGGGAGTGTGTCGCCGAGGGTCGCGTACCTGATACTCAGAATCACCAAACGGTATTCGCTGAATGTCATACAGGTCTACGCACCAACCTCGGCACATCCCGATGAGGAGGTGGAGGAAATGTATGAGGATATTTCTAGAGCCACGCATTTCTCCAAAACCCACTACACGGTGTTGATGGAAGACTTCAACGCAAAACTAGGCACAAGAGAAGGCGGTGAGCTGAAGTTAGGGAAATTTGGAGTAGGGCAACGGAACCGTAGGGGCCAGCAGCTGGCTGACTTTATGGAGAAAGAGAGACTTTTTATGATGAACTCTTTATTCCAGAAGCGGCCCCACAGGAAGTTGACCTGGTCGAGCTCCGACGGTTCGACAAAAAATGAGATTGTCTTCATTATGACGACCAGACGCCAACTGTTCAGTGATGTCTCAGTGATCGCAAGGGTGAAAACCGGCAGCAATCACCGAATGGTTAGAGGTACACTGAAACTTAACGTTAAGTTGGAGAGGTCTCGTCTAATGAAGTCAACGCTCCGTCCCCCCTCGTGCTCTGATCCAGAATCCCGAGACTTTTTAGCTCGAGTTACGTAACCGCTTTCAGTGCCTTGAAGATTGCAATGCAGTGGACGATATGAATGACAAGCTCGTGGAAACTGTCCATGCGGTTGGAGCTAAGTTCTGCAAGACCCGCCGCAGAAGAACACAAAAACTCTCCGATCACACTCTTAATCTCTGTTAGACGGGAGATGATGCTGCAATCGTCAACAGATTTGACAGCATACAGGCAACTGAACAGACAGATCTCCAAATGCATGCGGCGAGATTTACGCAACTTTAATACTGCTCGTATTAAAGAAGCGATCGAGCGGAACCAGGGCTCCAAAGTCTCTGCCAGAGATCTGTCTGCCAGAAAGAGCCAACTGTCAAAGCTGAAGACTGAGTGTGGCAGCATCGTTTCCGAGACACATGAGATTTTGAGTGAGATTGAGAGGTTTTATGGGCAGCTGTACACATCGTCGTTGAAGCCGTATAAGGGAACATGGAATTGCGTGATACTATTTCAAAAACATTTCGTTAGAGTTCCAAGTTCTATATATAACCCAATCGACCCAAATTATACCTACTTACACTTTTTTCCAAATAACAAGACAAATATGTGTGCCAAAGCATTCATTATTTTCTTCGCTCAAGCACTCATGATTCAGGTAAAACAAGAATTACTAACGTTTGAGTTAAAAATTTCATTGGTTTCTGATTATAATAAATATAATAGCTTTAATTACAAAAGAATACATATAAATAAATAAAAATGAGAATTATTGAAAACAGTGGCTTTGGATTTCAATAAAAATAATTGTTTCAATTTCAGTAATTATATTAAGAAATTAATGAAATATAACTTTTCTTTTTAATTAATATTCAGACCATAACTGCCTACTGCTTGGGCAACGAGTGGCCTACGAAGGTTCCTTGATTGATGGTGTTCCCTGCGGCTGTCAATGTAATTTAATTTAATTCTGGCAAGGTTTAGGCTTGGCTGGTTACGGTGCCGGTTGCAATCTAGCTGTCATTCCAACTGCTAGCGGCGGTGGTTTCCCTGTCGCCAGCGCGTCTCCCATCCCGCCTGTTGGAGTATCTGTTCTCTCAGAGAACGAGATCGCAGGAATTCTGTCCGCCTTTGGTGAACTGCCTTTCCTAGGCACCGTTGGTCTGGAGGGTGTGCTTCCAACTGCTGGTGCTGGTGCCGTCTCTTACGGTTGTGGAAACGGTGCTATAGGTATCATAAGCGAAGACATTTCCGGGTCCACTTTGGGTTACCCGGCCAACGCTGGGTTGGGTTACAGACCTGGTCTTGCTACTGGATTCGGTTACGGTCCCGCTTTCGCTGGACGCGCCATCGGAGGTTGCGGATGCGGTATCTACTAATAACCCTTTTAACTAAAAATCATACATGAAGTTAAAAAATAAACTTTCAATATCAGTTTGCATTTTCATTAATAAAATTTTATATTTAAACAGGAAGATACTAATTCGTAAATGTTTTTATAATGATTACAATAGTACCCATATACTTAAGTAGGACGTATCATCCATCCATTACACCCCTTCACAAGTCTATTACTGAACATAGGCATGTCACAAAGCACTGGCCTGAGCCACTTGAATCCATTGACTTCCTTCATGCCCTGGCAGGGCATGAAGGAAGTCAATGGATCAACTCCATCTAGTAGGGGGTCGCCCAACACTTCGCCTACCGGTACGAGGCTGCCACTCGAGAACCTGTTTTGTCCATCGGTTGTCGGTTCTTCGAGCTATATGGCCGGCCCATTGCCACTTCAGCTTACTAATCCGTTGGGCTATGTCGGTCACTTTGGACTAGATTAACACCTATTCTGCTCTCCTAACCGGTGAGCAGTTTTGCGAATGGTTCTAGGGGAAAGCGCAGGTCGTGTTCTCCCCAGGGCAAGTCTGAGGAATTCTTCCTTCACGTGGTTGCTAACTGTTCGTTACTTAGTCTGATTCAATAGAAAACAGACAGAACAGAAATACTCAGACGATCCTCTTCTTCTTCTCTTTTATCCCACCCCATTTCTCCTATCCTAACCCAATCCAAGGTGGAGGGAGTCCAGTCCCAAACGGCGCCTACCCGAGACTAGGGCGATTCGGGTAGTATTTTAGTCCTTCCCTCGGCATGCGGGGCTCTGCCGGTAGTGACCGAATATTTCCCTAGGTAATCGTGGGATCTACTACATTTTGCCAAGAATGTTGAAAAATCGTCCTGTGGGGCCCCGCAGCGAAGCTGACTCTCCAGAGGAGACGGCTGTGCTGTTGAGGGCACAAAACGAAGGGCTCCATACCGTAGAGACGAGGAAAATTGATTCTTGGTAAATTTTTCTCTGGACGACCCATCGGTGGAGGCTCTTCAGAAGGCAGGCGGCAGAGTCGTCCTTGGCTTTAAAATGATAACTTGTAAAGTCAAGGGAGGCTCTGACGCGGCAATGGAGCCTGAATCGCCCCAATTCCGATCCCCCAGCCTCCTCCTCTATCGGCCTCCGCTAGTGTCGTCCAGGGGTGGGGTGGGAGCGGTACAGCAAAAGGTAAGGCGGGGGTCAAGAGCACCGGTAAAGAACGTCTTCATCCTCAACGGGCGGAAAAGACCCCTGCAATAAATGGCTAACCCCAAGGGTAAGGCGAGGGTTCTCCAGGCAAATCTTCACCATGCAGCAGCTGCTTCTACCGTGGTGGAGGTTTGCTTTGCAGAGGACAACATTGACCTCGCCCTCATACAAGAGCCTTGGGTGGCCAACGGTCAAGTTCTGGGATTGTCAGCTGCCGGTAAGATTCTTGTCTATACTAAAAGCAGTAGACCCAAAGCTTTCATAACTAACAATAAAAATATTGAACTTTTGGCTGGTCCAGAGTACTGCAATGATGACCTGGTTACAGCCTTCATAAATCTCAAGGGATGGATGGATGGCGGAGTTCGCCCGAAAACACAACGCCGAACTTGTGGTGGGTTGTGATGCTAATGCTCACCACACAGCCTGGAGAAGCACTAACATCAACGAAAGAGGTGAGTTACTCTATGATTTTCTCATCTCCAACCACCTGGTAAGCCTAAACTTAGGGTCTACACCATCCTTTATAACGCGTGCGAGGCAAGAATTGTTAGACATAACCTTTGCTACCAATTAAATGTCCGGGCTTTTGATATGATCTTATGATTCCTAACTGATTGCGGACCCTTAATGGGCAAACGTAACACTCATCTGGGAAACTATGTACTCCGCCCAGAAGAAGTAAAATTGCTCACGGCTAAGCAACTCCTTCTATTCATTGAAGACATAGAGTAGTGAACTATAGCCATAGCAGCGACCACAATCGATCTTTTAGGTCGCAGTGATACTGGTATAGCTGCATAGCTGCTCGCACGTATTAAAAAAACACGTATTTTTCAAATATTGACCTATTCATTTTGTCACAATTACAATTTCGCAGAAGGTTAGGTAAGAAGGAAGGTAAGACATTCAATAGTATCTTAATATTTCACAAGACAAACTTGTTAATGTTAACAATTTTTTCTTTTTACCATTTGTCTCTTTTTTATTTTCAATGTTAACAATGTTAATGAGTATTGTCAACTTTATTTGTTTTCTCTTTTTCACTTATACTCTGTTAACTATGCTTTTGTTATTTATTGTTACCAATTTAATATTACATAATAACTAAGACTGATATTATTTATAAATTGTTATTTGGTTTAAGCATTTTATGTAATTGTTTGTTGTCCCGCATAAAAGAAAAAAAATCTAAATTAAAACCGTTTCAAAATAAAGAGTTGCCATAAACTAGACCAAAATAAATAAAAAAAGAAACAGGAATTCATACAAGCTCATATTTTATTACCGTTCCCGTGTAAGCTGATAGAAGCAATTGTAGGTATTAACTCAATCCTAATTTATTAACAATGATAAAAATCACATTATTTTTATTACGGAGGTATACTTTGTATAAAGTTATTCGACTAAGATTGACAGTGATATAAATTATTCCGTATTTATGGAGTATGAAGACTCCAAGTTTCGTTCACATTGCCACTGCCGTAATCAAAACGTTGGGGAGGTGGGAACACGATGCTTCTAACAGAGTTTACGTATTAGTGGTAATCCTCTCATAACCAATAGTTCATATTTTTTTTTAGCTTGCATTTTGAACCTTATATCGATATATTTAATAATATATGCCGATATAAGTGGTATCGGTGAGGTAACATTCGTTACTAAACGATACGAATTCATACATAAAGTAATATACGTACAGTCGTAATGATGTAAGTACATATTAGGTTTAACGACCGTGTTTTAACATAATAAACGATAACTTTTATACTCAATGAAGCTGCTGGAAATCGACTTAAACCTAATTTTATTTATCTAATTTTATTATTTTGTTAAGTTTCGAGCAAGCATTTTTATATTAAATTCAAACTTAACCTATTTATTCTCAAGCTACGCGACTTTGTCCGCGTAAAAATTGCACAAAAAACCTGCAGATATATTAAAGTAGTCTTTGGGCAAGTATTTAAATTATCAAAAAAACCTTTTTTCTGTGTTTGGCATTATCTTGAAAACTATATGCGATATAGAAAAAGGTTTAAAGTAAAAAAGTTTAATTTTTATATGGTGTGCAAAAAATAATATTAAATAAAATAAATAAATAAATATGTAAGTCAATGGACAGAATTTTAAATTTTAGGACCTCTTTAGTAAAAAGTTTATTTTATATATTCTATAGTAGGTATATAATTTTTTTCATTTTAATAATGTAATGATTTATATAGTTTACGTATGTTTATGTATTCAAATAGTCAGGACCTATCTATGAAAAAGTATACAAATTTTATTAAGCAAAAATTATTGCATCTGTGTTATTATACTACTTGATAATACATGATTTATAATTGGAAATTGATTTATAAACCCTTGGGAATGAGGTAAGCGCTGGGTGCTATTTCTAATTTATATTATTCATATTTAATTTTATAAAATTATAGTAAATTAATAGTAAAAAAAGTCTCGCTAGATTTATGGCTGGTTCTTCCCAGGAAGAACACAATTTTTTCATGAACACTTAAATTTTCTTCATATGTATAGATTATAGATAGATGTAAGATTTAAAACCATCATTAAAAACCATTCATTTTTTTTCAATTACATTACAAATTCTCAAAAATATCTCCGAATTTTCGGATAAAATAAAGCCTAAATCTTTCTTTGCTCTCTATCTGATCGTGAAGTTTAATTTCTGAAACGTACATACACTTTAATTTTATTTTTAACATTATTTATATTATTATGGTCGGCGTCCTGTAACGGTCGTCCACTTTCCTTTATTTTTAGGATTTTATCGCGTTTAATTTGGATCTTTAAATTCCCGACGTTTCGGGTGCTTTACAGCACCCATGGTCACGGCGGAGATTGAGATGTTAGACGTCTCAATCTCTCGATGTCATAGTTAGCCCGGCTACCTTCAGTTTTAGAATATTAATTTTTGGTCCGATCTACGCAGACTGAGCTTACAGTATCTTGAATTCTTACAGTGGTATGCTTGCTTGGGTAAGGATTTAATTTATTAATTATATGTAGGATCTCAGCAGGAAATAGTAGCACCCATCCATCTTCTCTATTGAAATTAGGATGTCTTTTAATTTCAATAACCTTCTTATCTTATCTTATCTTAACCGAATCATTCTTGGAAGGAATCGGTGTTTTTTACGAGGATTTGTGGTATATTACATTTGTGGTATAGTACATTAGATTTAATATATCATAGAACACATCATAGAACAAACTTCTGATATCGAAGGACCTGTTATCGTTTTCCACTCTGTATAACTAAATAATAAAGTCATTTAATAAAAGAAAACGAGTAAAAAGAGGATACCTGTAGAAGTGGCGAAGAACTCGCTGTTTCTTCTGAGGTTAGAGAAACCTCATTTTAGAAACGGTAGTAAAATTTAAAAAGAGCTTTATTACAAACGAAGTTTTATTTAAAGTAATAAATAAATTTCATTTCGTATTTTAACATATATATACCACGTATTAGTTATTCATCCCGCGGTTTTACCCGCATCCAAGTTGTTACATTCATTTCATACAGTAACAAAAGACCACGTTGATTATGAGATCGCATAACCTCCGTATTATATTCCGTATTATTACCTCAAACTATCACATAGTAACTTTCTCATAATTTGGAAAAATTATGATCGTAGATTTCAAGTTAAACCTTTTTCGAATGTGGGGTCGAATGGTGGATTCGAACCCACGACCTTTTTGAGTCCGCGGTCCGCGCCCTGCCATTAGGCTACTGTCGCTTAAAAAAAACCTTTTCGCCGTACTTCAGTACAGTCATCCTCCTTCGTC